GATATTTGGGCCACATACAATTGACATGTTTGCTGCACATCATAATGCACAACTTAAGAATTACAGGACTTTAAATCATCCTTTGCGAGATGCCTTTCAACTAGACCTCTACAAACATAATGCGTGGGCTAATCCACCATGGCAGTTAATTGCCCAGTTACTAAATTATGTGCATATACACAAAGCTATCATCACGTTGTGTTGCCCATTACGGAGTAAAGATCCATGGCCCAATAAATTAATAAGCATGATACAATGCGAGCCAATATATTTAGATAGGGAAGTAGATATATTCCTAAATCAGGGTACCCGAGCCGTCCAGAAGACGACCTGGAGACATAATATAATATGTCGTATAGATCCCATTGGAACATCCAAATGGACCTCTTCTGAGACCTTCCTTAACAAGGTCAAAGAATCAGAGATTCCACTCTCTACTAATTTGAACTGTAAGCAGTTCAAAAGGCAACATAGCACTTGAAGTCTGTGCACAAGAAATACAATCTACTAATGACACTATTATTAAGAAGTATCAATCTCTAGCTAGGACTCTGTTTAATATCTTAACGTCCAAGTCCGAAGTCTTTCAAACCCTATTTTTAAAGGGATTAATGAAAGATAATCCTGAAGCGTAATCAAACGCACATGAGCGCACTTATGACACTCATGCAAAAGAAGGACAGGAGTCTTGAAACACTACAGACTTAGAGACCACGCAAGTGGATTCTCAACACCCTACCTTTATTCTGGAAGAGCAGAATGATAAAAACATTATTTGCTTGGCTGACGCAAAACCATAAGCTTAAATACCAGAACGTAGTAGACGCACTTAAAAATGTCAAGCGAAATGGGATCGCGCACCCTAAGCTGGCAACTTTAGTTGACAGAGTATATCAGTCATGTGCAGACTGTGATCTCAATCAGATCAAGCGCTATAGGTTCGCACCGCTTAAAAGTGTGACTGAAGATGTTCCATGGCGCAGGGTCATCATTGATCTGGTTGACCTGCCCACGTCCGAGCACACAGGCGACCGTTACATTTGCCACTTCTTTGATGTGGCGTCACGGTTTAACTTACTCTATCCATTAAAGGATAAGAATACGCAGACCATGGCAGAATTATGTTGCCAAGTTTTTGCTGACCACGGGTGGCCAGGTATTATGTGCACTGATAACGGTAGTGTGTTCTGAGATGACGTAATGAAATCGCTAGTACTCGTATCAGGCATATGCCATAAGAGAGGTGTGCCATATAAACCGCAAACGCAAGGCGCGAATGAAACGCGCCATAGAAGACTTAAGTTCTTCTTGCGTACTGCATTAACGGATGATGCAGATGATTGGCCAGTGAGTACAAACACAGATGAACGAGTATGCTGATCCGGTTACAGGAACTACATCCTCTCACTATTTTCGTGGCAGATATAGTGAGTTACAAATCCCCTTTAACTAGGACGAACCTGATCACCATGAGATACCATGGTTAGAGAAGGTACAACGCATACACAACGTTGTATATCCTTGCTTGCGAGAGACACGTAATGTGGCCTTATTAAAAAGGCAAAATACATGGAATGCTACCAAAAAGATAGCAGAGTATCAGGTTGGAGACAGAGTTAACATCCGTCAACGTAATCCCGATGCTACTGTACTAACATCGAAATGAATAGGACCATATATAATCTCTGTAGCCGACACTAGAAGTGGAACCTATGAGGTTAATAACCCCGACGGTTCAGTGCTTTGAATATAGCCAATATTCAGATTCCGACTACAGAGATTATTCTCGCAAGAAGACATGATTCTACTGCACCTCTTGACCGCTCCGACTTCAAAGATATTATACGGAGAACGGATAAAGGAGGATATACATACTATCGTACACGCTTTATAGACGGTACAATCGCTGAGTTAACTTCAGACGCTTTTGACAATCAGGACTATTTAAAGGCCTTTAACAGAAAATGACATAAATGCCTAAATAAGTCACAGGCTGAAAAAGATAGCATGTTCCCATCGTCTGAAGGCACGGAAGTTAAAACTTACCCGCCAACAGCATTTATACCGAGCTTTACTGCTCATCCTTCGTATGTTCCAAAAACATTAAAGTGTAAAAAACGTCCAATCGACCACCACAGACCTACTGGACCTAAACCCAAAACTCACAGGGTAACCGAGAACGCTTAACTTCTCCGCCTGAAAAACATTAACTATACGTTACGCTACTTAATGTTTTCGACCCGTTTTCCTTTCTCGCTTTTTATTAACCCATAATCAGCTTGAGTGAGCAACTCGCTTCTCCTGGGTCTCAAAGCTGGGTGATACTTATATATTTCCTACGCGTTTAATTACTATCAGGCGTTAATGTCGCCTTGATAGACCGAAACTTACAGTACCTACTTCTCCAAAAGCGTTGTTTATGATATTATATATTGAGTGTTCTACCTTCTTCTGTATAATTTCATATAGAGTATTCTACCATCTTCTTCACTAGCGGTGCTTTTGATATTATATTTAGATTGTCGTATCTTCTTCCCCACTCGCGTTGTGTATGGTAAAATATAGGGAGTGCTGTACCTACTTCCGTACTAGCGCTAAATATGATATCATATCATGTGTTGTCCCTACTTCCCCAAAAGCGTTGTTTATGATATATATTGAGTGTTCTATCTTCTTCTGTATAATTTCATATAGTGTGTTCTACCTACTTCTTCATTAGCGGTGCTTTTGATATTATATTTAGATTGTCGTACCTTATTCCCCGCTCGCGTTGCGTATGGTAAAATATAGAGTGTGTTGTACCTACTTCCCTATTAGCGTTATATCTGATATCATATCACGTGTTGTACCTACTTCACCAAAAGTGTTGTTTATGATATTATATATTGAGTGTTCTACCTTGTTCTGTATAATTTTATATAGAGTGTTTTACCTACTTCTCCACTAACGGTGCTTTTGATATTAAATTCAAATTGTCGTACCTTCTTCCCCACTCGCGTTGTGTATGGTAAAATATAGGGAGTGTTGTACATACTTCCCTACTAGCGTTATATATGATATGATATCATGTGTTGTACCTACTTCCCCAAAAGCGTTGTTTATGATATTATATATTGAGTGTACTACCTTCTTCTGTATGATTTCATTTAGAGAGTTGTAACTACCTCCCTACTAGCTTTGTGTAGGATACAATATATATTTTTTTCTACCTAGTTCCCCACTAGCTTTGTTTAAGATATCATATCAAGTGTTGTACCTACATCCTCATTCGGGTTTTGCATGATATACTTTAGAAAGTGTTCTGCGTTGTGTATGATATTATATAGGGGCTGTTGTACCAGCTTTTCCACTAGCGTTGTGTATGATATCATATGAAATGTTGTTATACTTACTTACTTGCGTGGTGTATGGTATCATATAAACTAGCGTTAATGAATGATATCATATAGAGAGTGTTCTACCTACTTCCCCGCTAGCTTTGGGTATGGTATCCTTCGAAGTGTTGTGTATGATATCATATAGAAAGTGTTCTACCTACTTCCCCACTAGTGTTGTGTTTGACATTATATTAGGGAGTATTCTACCTAGTTCCCCACTAGCATTGTGTGAGATATCATATCAAATGTTGTATCTACTTACCCACTAGCGTTGTGTATGGTATCATATGAAGTGTTGTACCGACTTCCTGACTATCGTTACGGATGATATCATATAGAGAGTGTTCTACCTACTTCCCCCTAGCTTTGCGTATGGTATTCTCTGAAGTGTTGTGTTTGATATCATATAGAGCGTGTTCTACCTACTTCTTCACTAGGGTTGTGTCTGACATCATGTTAGTAAGTATCCTATCTACTTCCCCACTATCGTTGTGTATGATATCATATGAAGTGTTTTACCTAGTTCCCCAGCTGCATTGTGTATGATATCATTTAGAGAGTGGTTTTGTATTTCCCCGAAAGCGGTACTTTTGATATCGTATCAAGTGTTGTACCCACTTCCTCACTTATTTCGTGTGAAAATGTTACAGCCAGTAAGCATTGCGTACGATATCATATAGAGAGTGTTGTACCTAATTTTCCATACAGTATATACGTATATGCAATAGATAATAATATACAATAGGTACGTATATACAACAAACACTTATATACTATAGATAAGAATATTAAAAAGTACGTATATAGATTAGATACGTATATACAACAGATAAGAATATACAATAAATACGTATTACAATGAATAAGTATACACAATAAATATGTATATACGATATCTACGTATATACAAAAGATACGTATATACAATAGATAAGAATATAAAATAGATTCTTATAGATAAAGATACATTTATACAATATATACGTATATACAATAGATAATAATATACAATAGGTATGTATATACAATAAATGCGTATATACAATAGATACGTATAGATAAGAATATTAAATATATACATGTATACAATAGATACGTATATACAATAGATAAGAATATACAATAAATACGTACATACAATAAATACGTATATACAATAAATACATATATACAATAAATACGTATATACAATAGATACGTATATACAATAAATACGTATATACAATAGATAAGAATATACAATAGATAAGAATATTAAATAAATACGTATAAATAATAGATACGTACAATATACAATAAACACGTATATACAATATGTATACACACACTCCGAGCTGCTTTCAAAACGTTCAGAATATACTTCATAGTTAGTGTGAATGTAACTCCATTAGATTGTCCCCGTGCACAGTGCAGGTGTGCTTGCGCAGAAGTGTACGTACGCTTCCTGTTGTGTGTAGTTAATATATCTTTCACCGATTGTGGGATTTGGGGATTATTCCACCGTCATAGGTACATACTACCAGAATCGAAGCCGACAAGGAAGCGGGGGTTTGAAGCAAGTAATAAACCATTGACTAAATAAACAAAAGTCCCTACTAGTTGTTTTTATACTCAGTTACAGTCCGTTTAATAGTTTGCTTTCGTATACTGTCCAGTTACAGTCCGTTTAATAGTTTGCTTTCGTATACTGTCCAGTTACAGTCCGTTTAATCTTTACCAATTCATTCATCTCCCATTCTCGAGGCGTGCTTAGTAGTCGCTTAAAGGATGAAACGGCAGAGCTCTATATCGCCAAATTGAGCACAATCCGAGCCATATCTATTTATAAGTTACAAAGCAAATGCCCATTGTGTCTAAAGTGGTAGGTAAGGTATCTGTGGTGTTCCCACGGCGTACAGACCTTTACGACACCAAACCCCTATTTGAAACATCTACCTACAGTTTCATGTTAATCACTACTTTCCCATTGGACGAACCTGACTGCTCGATGACGTACTTGTGCGCCTCTTGCACATCCTTTAGGGCAAAGCTGCGCCCGACCTTCGGCTTTAAAGTCTCGTTCGCTAGCCCAGCCTGAATGTACGCGTGGGCTTCTTTCTTGTCCTCGGGTGTAGATTGTCCTGTTTTTATTTTTTAGGACACATTGGGGTTGCATATGTGACATGAAAATCTGGATGGTATACGCGATAGTACGAATGATATAGCAACTGTAATGGTCTCAACTAGAGATGGTACAGAGTAGTGTCGAGTGCTGACTGTCCTTCAATCTAGCACACACACACACATACAATACACTATCTATACCTTGAAACAACACAACACACACACACATACAATACACTATCTACACCTACGACACAACACAACACACACAATACATTATCTATACCTTGAAACAACACACCACACACATACTCATACAATACATTATCTATACCTTGAAACAACACAACACACACATTCAATACACTATCTACCTCGAAACGACTAGCATTCATTATGATAAATAGGATTTGTAGCGTCTTCTCTACCGTCTGGTCAGATTCGAAGTATATACGCTCTCAAGCACCTTGTATTCAAGTACCTAAAGCATTCTACGTCCTTGAATATAGTCTGAGTGTGCACTTTGCATACTACACTCCCGAGAGATATGACCAGAGCACACCCAGCGTACGATAAGCCTTCTCGGTAACACTCGACGGGATAGTCGAGTGCCCGTCAAGTAGAGATAGTGCGGATCAACTATTGATACCGGACATCCCCCAGTATTGACATGTATGGATGTCTATACAGAATACAACATGTGAATGGACTAATCAAGGCACACGGTTAGGGGCTTATATGTACACCGAGCAAGCCTATTCGTACACACAGATGGAGAATATATATATATATATACATACAAATACATAACAACACACCCAGTTGACAATAAATACGGATGTACACACCTAGAGCACATCCCATGACACATGACTCCGTGGCCATAGTCAGGCGCGGGTCGAATTCAATAGTACCGCGGTTGCCAATGACAACCACTTTGCCGTGACGAGCAATCATCTTAAGGTCATTGCACAGGTTGGCGTTTGCAAGCATCTCCAAAATAACGTTGAACCCTCCGGGGGTGTGTGCTTTGAGCTTGTCGAGGTAGTCTGTGTCACGGTGGTTGAAGCACGCGTCTGCAGACAGATGGTACGTGAGATGTGTGAGTGTGCACGTATGAGGGTACGGTGTAGGCGTACGTACACGTTTGAGAATGGGTGGTGTGACTGTGTTGAGCTGGTCGAGATAGTCGGCGACCCGGTGGTTCAAGCAGGTACAGGCAGATGAATTGAATATATATATATATATTCAAACTCGTACATATATATTTATATATATATCATACCCGCACGATTAGGTACACATACGAGTATCCTCTCCTACGACATATGCGGGGATAAAAACGTGACTGGTATTCAATTGTGAAGGTGGCCAAGCACTGGGCATTGAAAGGCATTGTGGTGTTCATTTGTCCCGTTTGCTGTACCCCTCTGGCTGAAGGAGGAGCTATCTGTAGCACAATCTCCGATAGGCAACGCACAGGCAAGTATGGAGTGTACTTGTATATACAAACACACACATACGTACAATACATATATACATACATACAAACATATACATCCGTTCAATACATACATACATACATACAAGCATATACATACGTACATACAAACATATATACATACATATGCACTTGGCATGGCATATAATTGCAGGGGAAACGCAAACCTTTGGAAAATAACCACTCAATACACTTATGTGCATCTATTAATTGTTTGGTTAGAAGTCGGACGTCGTGCCAAGATAACCCGGCGTTCCATACAGAAGCCGTACATATACTTCGTTTACATACCAAAATAACACATACATATGCCCTTACAAACACACACACATATATATGAATACATATACTTCGTTTACATACCAAATAACACATACATATGCCCTTACAAACACACACATAAATATATGAAGACATATACTTCGTTTATATACGAAATAACACATACATATACCCCCCACCACACAAATACAATACATATACTATCCCCACCCCCCCCCATACATACCCGCCCCTGCCTCCAGGACTGCTTTGCACCCGTCTTCACTTCCGGCCGTGCCTACTACCGTCATGCCGTGGGCTTTGCCCATCTGCACTGCGCCTATGCCCACGCCACCGGATGCCCCATGCACCAGAAGTGTGTCAGAGGATTTGGCCTCTGCACGCAAGAACAAGGCCCTGTGAGCGGTTGAGAAGGGTACGTTGATGGCTGCACCCTGGGCAATAGGTGGAGAGGAGATGGGTTGGGTTGGTTTGGAGAAGGTTTTAAGTAACGGGATGACCAGGGTTGGGTGTTGAGTGGTTTGGGCGTATTCGGACGGTGTTGGTAGGTATCTAACCAATACAGGAAAACGTTTGAACGTATGAATAACCGAGGAGAGGGTGTAGTCATTGCGGGGTTGGGGAAGTGCGAAACGGATAGAACAGTGCATACTGCAGTGTGTGTGAACGGGTCACGTAGCAATGACGCGAGGTGTGGGGTATTGGTAGCGTGTGCTTGTGCACAGGAACTACACGATCTGTTGGTAGTTGTCATAGCCACACCAATACTCGCGCTCGATATGTTTTAGGGCGTAGGGTTTAGTAAAACCCTAACCCTAACCGGCAAGCGACAGGCATGTGGGGGGGGGGGTTATGTTTGGGTACGTATGTGTGAAGTGGTGAAGCAGACGCTGAATTGCCTGGTATGGGAGTGTGTATGTGTTTGTTACCAGGCAAAGCATGCACAACTGCTTGTATGACCAGTGCTGGGTGTGCGTATGTACCAGAGACCCATTTTTCGGGTTTTAGGACAGGGCAATAGTCACACCCGCAACAAGGCCTGCGATACCTTTAACAGGCATGCGCAACCAAACCATTACGCACATACATTCAATAACTTATTCTACAACCTTGCGCATATGGGCCAAAGGAGGTCGTGTGTTGTCGTTCAGCGGAACACATAGGCATATACACAAACACACACATATATATGTATATAATACATATACATATATATACATATATATATTAAATACATATATACAAGCCTATTCCCCTCACGCACGAGTGTGTCAATGCCCTTGCCTACCTGCTCAAACGTAGCCGCTTCAGGCAACGCATGTACATCGACCTCATTACAGAGTGCTGCGTGTGCGTATGTCCCTGTGATTGACCCAGACAGGTACACACGATCACCCACCACCACATGTGTAACACCTTTACCAGTCGCCAATACCACACCAGCAGCGTCCGCCCCAGGAGTGTACGGAAGCGTGGGCTTGCGAGCGTAGGTGCCCTGTGGTGATGCAACGTAGGAATAAGTATATGCGATTGGTAAGAAGAATGTATAGGGGCAATACATATATATATACATCATCCCCCCAGAGGTGTGTACTTAGGCTTGGGTGTGTGCGCACGTGTGCTGTGGTGACCTAGGCGTATAAAGTAGCTATAAGATAACAAGTAAAACAGACAGACACATGACTGGATCAAGGCATAACAACCAGGTAATCCAGCCAAAGCAATATACGAATACGTACATCTGTATATATGGTAGTCGCAGTAGCCAGAGTGACCTATAGAGCGTTTAAGGACAGTGACAGATTACACAATAGACACACCTTGGATTGGTGTACAAACGGGAGCGAATGTGTGGAACTTCGTTTACGAAAACATACGAACACATTATTGATACGAGATATACACTCACATACATATACAGATCGCATATATGTATATAAATATACCCCTCTATATATACAGTTACATAAATGCATATACATATATATATATATACATACACACACACACAAACACACACGTATAAATATACATACATTCATTCACATACCTGTCTGATGTACGTATCCACCGGATTGACACCCGCAGCCTTGACTGTGACCAGCACTTGGCCGTCTCCGGCGGTAGGCGTAGTGACTTCTTCCACAAGCAACTTCTCCGGACCCCCGAACTCGTGCACAACGCATGCTTGGTAGTTCTATAAATAAACACGGCACACCAGCGTACGTGGGGAAGAATGTGAGAATGGAGGCTATGCCAGTTATTGATGTTTGTTATCACAGACTGAATAAGACCATACATTGGTGTGAGAGTGGAGGCTATCCCAGTTACTGATGTGTATTATCACAGACTGAATACGACTCCATACATTGGTGTTATGGGTATATCCGGATGATACGGACTCAGGTCAGTGCTATGACACGAGGGCAAAGGCAGACAGCGGGTTGCCGCAGCATGCACATGTTTGTTTACAGGGAAGTAGCTTCTGCAAATACACACACACACACATATATATACACACATCCATATATATATATATATATATATACACACATACATATATATATATATATATATATATACACACATATATATACACACACACATATATATATACACACGCATATATATAATATATTTATAGGGTCGTCTTCAAACCTGCAGAAAAGCCATGCACCTATAAATCACAAGCAATCAATACAAGAGGGATAGCTGAACACACTGACGCATAGCCTATCATACTCGCAATACAAATAACAAGTGAGTGTAGGTAGATGCGTAGATTAAAATATGATACTTGCAATACAAATAACAGGTGAGTGTAGGTAGATGCGTAGATTAAAATAGTGTGGTTTCACACTGCTGTGACAGTCGTTCCTGTAACGCCATACCAACTACATACACAAGCACGTGCATGGCAGAACCCTAACAACCCTACACGTGGATCTGAGCACAATGCACAAGGCGGAAGGATACGTGGTCAGACTAACAAGGTCAAATAACTATATGAACTAGCAAACATGGTGAGAGACTGTAGACTTCATATGTACTCAATGGTTGTAGCATACACAAATACATGCATGTATGTACACTTCACGCTAAATAACATGTATGATATTGTAGTTTCTCAAACCTATTCAAACTTGGTATATATATATATGAACGTCTATGTAAATGAATATCAATAGATATATAAGTACATTATATATATATACACAAATACATAGATACATACAGACACACACACATTCAT